GTTACAAATGAAAAGGAGAAGAACTGTGCATCCTTAGCTTACAAATATACCAGTGTGCACTGATACTATGAGAAACCAAATTATCTGCTTTTATTTGAACAAAACAACACCATAACCAAGTGTAAAAGTTTGACCCTAGTTTTGCTGCTTACTTTTAACCCTTCAAGGTTGTTATGTTCTAAGGATCTAAGCACTAAAGATTTTGTAGTAAATTATTACTGATTCTTACTCAGTGTAGATGAGAAATTAGGTACCAGTGTGCTTGCCCCCTCTCCATACACAAAGCCTTCGGCTTATTTCTGTTGTCAAAAGCTTGATAAGGGTTATTTTTAAACTGTTTCTAAATGTAACTTGTAGTCAGTTAATATTTAAGTACTATCTACATTGCACACAATGAAATGGGAGCATGCTTTGGAAAGATCTGATTGACTGTGCCTGTCTGCTAGCTTAATGCAGTTTGATTTTTATATCATGTAAGTAGAGCAGAGTGATGAAAAATAGTTATACTAAGAAAGGTCTCTTTTTTTTTTGCAGCTTGTTTATTTTGGGAGGCAGAGACATGCATCTCTCTATCCCTTTCTCTTCTAGAGAACATGACTGCAAAATAAGTAGCCAAGAAGACTTTTCTTCACGTTGTAATTAAAAGAAATCTTAAGTAACAGACTATTACTTTGATATTGCTAAACCATAGGGTGCAAATTTTAAGCTTGCATATACTGCCAGCACAGATGTCAGCAAAGAAATGGTGAACACTCTAGGAAGAAAGAACCTCACGAAGCAATAAGTGACACAAGGGAAAGCAGTGGACCAGCTGTACCCAGCTGCCCAGTGGTTGCTCAGGGGTTGTTCCACACTGTTTCACTTGCCTGACCTTCTTTAGTACCCAGGCAGATCAAACTGAGTTGTGACATGTATAAAGTGGATTAATGTTACAAAGAGAGTTGTATGAAGCTACCAAATTCATTTTTATGTGATTCTGGCTTAAAGTAAAGGTTTCTAGGGTGAAAGGCTAATGCATTAACTCATTGCATCAAGCACATCTTATTATGCAGAAGTTAATGTTAATACACTCAATTAGCTACATTTTTACAGATCTGATGCTTTCAGGGATATTTTTTCCTTGTGCTAATTGTACTATTTACATCTTTTATCTAATTTAACATGTAGTTTGTGTCAAAAATTCCTTTGGAAGAAACAACAATTAGGCTGTTATTAAAACGTAGATCACCAAGAATGCAAGGAATGTAAGCTGTGGCAGATTTGAAGACGATGCTATTCTTGGCCCCAGTGGGCCACAAAGCCAAACAAATGAGTTACCTGCTGCAATTTTTCTCTTCTCCTCTCAGCACATGCAACCACATCTGGCACTGATCCTGGCCTCTACATGATATTTTTATATCACTGTGAGGAATTAAAAAAAAAAAGCTGTAAACATCCTGAGTAAGCACTCCTGGCATAGAGAATAGTTTGTGACACTTCAGCCTCAAAGGTTGAAAGGATGCATCCCAGGCTGTGTCTGAAGCATATTGTGCTGAAGCGGTTGAGATGGCTCGTGGATGTAACTGCTTTTCCCATCCTGAGAGGAATGCAGGATGAAGTGTGGGGAGCTGTGTAGAAGCCTGTTGCTTACATTTACATAAACTAATGATGTACTCTGTATACAAACAAGACAAGCTGATATTTCAGCAGTGATGGGCCTGATTGGTTTTTAATGATGATGAAGGCACCACTTTGTCGGTTTGCACTGAGCTTTATAAGCCAAATTTGCAGTGAGGTAAAAATATGTTTTCAATGATACATTCAGCTATGCAATGGTAGATAGATAATGTATAAATCTAAATTTTGCATCAAATGTATGCTACTGATTGTCCCCATGCTTCATTCAGGGAGCAAATGTGCCTCCCTTCAGGCCTATACACTTGCTTCTTTCCCAAGAAAATCACAAATATGAAAGTGGAAACAGTACCTGGGCCTGTGTCTCTCCTGGACACATCATGAAATGTCTAAAAGCTTTATACACAGGAGCTGAGAAGTGCCTCTGGCTCAGTTAACTTAGACATGGCTGCTGCCATTATCCTGTCCCCTCTCAAAGGAGGGGAGCTTCTGTCTATTTGCAGTCATAGCTATAAGACAGCTCCTATTTTATGAGAGCAATAGATGCAATGCATTAAGAGAATGATTTTAACATGGATACGATACTGTTATCTTTTCTTGATTTGTTAGCTCTCTAGATATAGATATTTCCAGTCTGAAAAAAAAAAAAAAAAAAAAAAAAAAAAGCTGTTACTTTATGTGTATAGAAAAAGCTTTCAATTTCCAGATAGTGAAAGAAAAATGGGAATGTTCAACTCTGCCTAGCCTTTTCAAGGCACTAAAACACATATTACTTTTCAATGCTGTGAAGACATACTGTTAGGGAAGGATTAGTTTTGACCATGACTACAAAGAATCAACTCAGATGTGATTCTTAAAGCCTAAGTACCTATTACCTTCTTGTCTGGAGACAGATGAGAAATATATTTTCCTCCTACAAGACAAAATCTCCTAGAAGAGTACAAAATCTCAAAATTGCTCTAATTCCCCTAAGACATCTATAAAAATCACATCAAAACATTGTGATAGGTCAGATACATGTTACTAATCCACTGTGATCTACTTTATCTGGAAAGATACCTTATTTGTCATTTTAACATACAGGTTTTCCTAAACATCCATGGACTCTTCCCGTTTGGAGGGATCATAAAACCTCTCCCTTATAGCCTCAAAAGGGCAAAGTGCTTGGTGGACACTCCCATAACATGGCTGGTGATGCCATCTCTTTTCTGCCCACAGGAAATTGTGTAAACGTAATATCCTTTAGACAACAAACTTTTCCAAATTCCGAACTATAAGGAGAATTCCTACTTCAGTCTTCAGGCACAGATCAGATGGATACATAGAGGGACACTGTGAGTCTTGTTTCCTTCTGAAACCAGTAAAAAGGAGGAACCGTGCTTCGGTAGGACAGTGGCAGGACAGACCCAGCCCCATGTCCCCCAGATCAGCTGAAGCACACCTCTCATTAGTTCCTGACTGACACTAGAGCAGTGGCACAAAATGCTGTGAATAGCAGAGAATGCAAGTCAAAAATGAAAGAAAAATATTCTTTGGTCTGTTTAGAACCACTACCATTTTCCCTTTCCCTTGCATTAGAAGCTAACATTGCTAGCTGATGCTGACCCTGACCCACTCTCAAAACCCCAGTGTTCTGCATAGGATCAGTTTATCCTGTTCTTTCCCAGTATATCTTGTTACCTTTACAACTGAGAGAAGGATCTGTTTACCTTTCCCACTGAGATACAAGGACATAGCTTTTAGAATGTAGCATTAATTTGCATTGGTTGCAGATTACAGTCCAGTTAGTACATGGAGAGGGAATACTTGTGCAAATAAATCACAAATGATATGACAAATACTTTTAGAGAATATCATATAACAGTGAGTCAATGTTTTCTTCTTATACAGTGAATTAAAAGGAATCTTACCTTTTACTACTGAGAAAATAATTTCTCCTGATTTTTTTAAAGCCTTATCCAGTCCTCTTAACATAATTTCCTGAGCTTTGAACTCAATGAGTCTTCTAATAATGTCCTTAAATGAGGGAAGGAGGTAATTTTCTCTCTCACTGCCTTTAGGGGATCATCAATCATGCATCACTCATAAGAGTTAGCATTGCACCAAGGCTGCTTTTTTTTTTTTTTTTTTCAAGAAGCCTAATTGTGCATGGAGGAAGTAGAGTAGAGTAAAAGGTTTCATTTATAAATTGCACATTCTTTGTGTAGAATTGCTGTACCTCCTGTAGGGTAATTTTCATATAAAACACTACACTGATTCAGATCCCCAGCCACAATAACTTTTTTTATAACCTTTCCTCCACCCACTGCCACTACATATTTCTAAAACAAGCAAATTCCATGGATGTCATAAGGACAGATTATAAATGAGTCGTACCGAGATAAGGTCGCAGAAGATGCACTTATTAAATCACGTGATGATGCAAGAATTGAGCCAAGCTACGTTTATCTAAATCCCAATAAACTAGCATCAAAATACTAACAACTGGTTTCACTGAGCATTTATTCCCAAACATTCACGTGTTCAGTAGTTTCTGTATTAAAACACTAAAATTAGTATGCTAGACTTTTCCACTTAACAAGTGGATTAGATCACACAAAATGTGATGGCCTTCATCTGAGCCTCTAACTGATCTTCCCACATTGCAAAAATCAATATTTGCATTTATTTGCACATTAGTAACTGCAATTAGTATCAGGCAAAAATTGTTAATTGCAATTAGCAGTAGGTGATTAAGAGAAACCAAGTCCGAATACTAACCATACAAAATTGCAGTTACTAATGTGCAAATAAATGTACCTGAAGAAGTAACAAAAAATCATCTCTAAATCTCATTGTTTGTTGAAAATAAAAAGCTTCTGCACACAGGATGATATTTTTTTCCCAGAAAATATATGAGATATGGAGCAAAGTACTTTCCTGCTTGTTTACAGAGTTCTGTTTCTTGTTTACAACAGTGAGACATCTCCACTCAGCACTCCAAGGCCCTGCAGCATAAAGGGCTTCCTCAGATTCAACAGTCCCAAGGAAAGTTCTCTGATACTTTCATCCATTTTTCAACTTTCTTCTTCCTCTATTCTCACACACCTTTCCAGTCAAACAACACTCTCTGAACTTTCTTCTGGAATAAACGTTTCTAAATGGCCTTACGTGAACATTTGCTGTGGGCTGCCCCGTGCCAATGTTTTGGCACAAGAGACACTGTCGTTTCATAAAGATGCTTATTTGTTTCTAAAAGCCCACGGAAAAGGAACACATATTTTCTCACAGTGGTTTCACCACACTTTAAATCAGTCATTCATGAAGTATATATAGTAGCAGCAGCAGGGAGCAGTCTACACTTGAGGCTAGCAGTCTCACAGAAATACTGCACAAATGCATCTTACCGCTTCCTCCTCGTCCATGTAGGACTTGAATAACTGGCGCTGCTTCACGCGTGTCAGAAGACTGGTCTGCAAATTCATTCTGAGTGAAAAAGAAAATACAGGTTAAATGCACACGCTCACCATGACTGTTTTTTCACCTTTTGAACTCTCCTGAACAGATTTTTAAAGCAATCAGCTCTAAGTGCAAACGGTGCCCTGCTGCCACTTAGACTCTTTTCCCAGGAAGCACATTTGCCAAGTATTATTTGTTTATTTCTCTCAGGACAGAAATAAGCATTAAGCATAGGAAAGATAATACACTTTATAATGACAAACCAGGGGTTTAAATGAGCGTGAAAATTTGCTGAGGCAAAACCTTTAAAATGATTTTAAAGCTCTAATAGAATCCCTTGCATGCATTCAGAACATGTATGCACACAAAGCACTGACCCAGGATACTGTCAGTGCTGTTTCTATTATCAATACGACTTTGCAAGCCTTATTAATGAGAGTTTAGTGGAGTAGTTTTAACTACTGTGGGAACCAAATATATTTTGCACATTCCCACTTTTTTTTGAGAACAAGCCTTTAATTATTGCACAGTCTTTGTGGAACAAGACAATACCACAAGCAACAGAAGAAATGCAGTAATGTAAGATTTGGGCACTGACCAGACAAACATAATGCAGAGATACCTGTGCTACCTGGCTGAGCAGCAGCAATCCAGACAAGCCTGCATGTGCCAAGCATGGTAATTCACCATGCAGAGATGGGGATCAGTTGAATTACTCCGGCCAGTGCTGCCGAGGCTCACCTCAGAAAGACAGAAAAGAAGAGAAGCAAAAAATCATGGCTTTTAAACACTCCAGTATTTTATATCCTTTTCCTGAGAGGTTTCTTGGAAGTCTTAGTGTATCTTTACAGAGCTCTGCATGCTATGGCTCATGAGGGGAAGTAATCTACTGCAGCACATAGTTACTATGTACACCTTTTCATATCTGGACGTTTTTTTTTCACACAACTTTCTCCACTCTTCAAATCAAGACTTGGTAATCAACTGTGCTAGCCAGAATTGCAATAGTTTGGGTTTATTTCTTGTGCCTCCAGATTTGCTTTGGATCTAAATTCATCTGTAAGTAAAATAGTGTGAACTGCTCAGCAAGAAAACTCAACCATTCAATGGAAACTTTCAAATAGTTGTCAAAATTCAAGCTTAGCTTTGCTTTCCTTCTGCTGCACACAAGCAGCCTCAGTGAGACTTCACTACTGCTTATTTACAGAGCTGATTTCTCTCTTCCTAATGTTTGTTTTTACTGTTTCAAGCACAGCATATAAGCAGCAAACAGTTAATTTCTGTGCCTGTGAAGGGGCTCTTTTCTTGTTCAGCTCCCACAGTATGTTCTCCACTAGGCAGCATTCAGTTTCTGAACTCTACCCTACCCTTGATATTCTTTGTTTTCCAAATCCTCACTCTGGCCTCCATCCAACATAATTCTTTCAAGTGGTTTACACATGTAAATGCTAACTGGCTACTGCCTAACCCAAAACTCATGCACGATTTCAATACGAAGACTTTCCATGTCCTCATGGATCAGAACTTTGATGATCGAAAGGGCCTCATAATCTTAGATCAATCTGAACTAATGCTCTCTCTGTTCAAGTGATTTTTATTTTTTTTCCTGAAGTAATTAGCTCCAAGGTCAACAAAAAGAGTGTAAGAGGTTTAGAAGATATTTGTAAAAAAAAATAAAAACTCTAGTTTAAGGCTACTTGTATTTAATTTGAAAACATTTTGAAAAGATAAGAATTCTGTTTGGAAGTATCAAAGGAAAATTTTTTCTCCTAAGACAATGTCAGATTTTAAAAATATATTTAGCCTTTCAAAGATGGACAATGCTGTTGAAGTATCTTCCCATAAATATGATAATCCCTGAACCATCATGCTAGCCAGTTACATTGAAAGGCTCAAAACATGCAAGATACCTTTATGGATTTATTTATTAGTATCTAGCTTAACAAAGTGAGAACAATTGAGGCTACAACTATCAAGCTGAGTATCTGCCAATCTAGTTGTACAGACCTTTTCTCCTAAGAAAATCAATTTAAAAGACTGACTGCTTAGCTAACCACGTCTTTCAAAGATAGGAACTTGTAAGAGCATGAATATTTACTAATGGGAACATGGCCAAAGGAGTGCTTTTACCATCCAGCAATGTGATAGTTGCTGGGAGAACTGTTCTTAGTTCATATGCTATCCAGAGACTGCTGGCTTTAACACGAACTACCAAAATCTTCTGTTCTGCATTTTTTTTCCTTATAGAGGTTTTGAAAAGTTTACAAAAATAAGACAGTTTTCTACCTTCCTCATTGCCATGAATATAGGATCAGTTCTCAGGAACAAGATGTGCATGTTGACTTTCTCTTTTTTCTTTTACTCTTTTTGTAAGATCACAACTGACTGAAAAATATTCTAATTATTTTGTTTTTTAATGACCCTTTTCTTTTTTACAGGTTCACTTCAGTTTAGGAAAAATACTCAGATATTCAGTAATAAACATTTTCTGAATTTAAAATTTAAATAATTCTTGTTCAAAATTAAATGCCCCAAACAAGAAATGTTTAGGAAAAAGACCAAACTGGGTTCAAACTATAAGCTCAGGCTGGAATCAGACTGGGAGTTGTGCTCATGTAGATACTCATTCTCTAATGAATTGAGAGTTTTTGTCTTCCAGAAAGAAGATGACCTCTTATATGTCTCCTTTTTTTATTGGTAACTGACTGACTGTTTCTGCTTGACCTGCATTATTCCATTAACATTTTAACTACCTATTATTACAGCTCATTTATTCTTACCAGCTGTATCTTTCTGAAAACGTACATAAGTAACATACCCACAGTGTATTTCAACATCCTATTCAGAACACAGTACTGACATCCACAAATAACGCGTTCTGACAGAAATAAATTATCTGTTCCACTCCATGTGGCTACGCTAGCAGGAGTTTTCTGTTTGCATTTTTTTAAACGAAGATCAAGTCAATCTTCTTAAAAGGAATCATAGCCTTCTGTGCTGGCGGTTCATAAATACAAAGCTAGGTACAAACAGAGCGTTTTCAGATAAAGTTAATTCCTCTTCTGCCCTGTAGAAATTGAACTTTGTAAACATATTCCTTATCTAGAAACACAATGCATCTCTGCCTTGCTGGAAGGCAATGTATCATGGCATGACGTGGTGTGCAAGAGCAGTGCAACTTACTAGAGAGAGCTAACATTCCTTTGGAGTGAGCAAGCCTGAATCTGCAATCTACTGCCAGCTCTTACCTCTCACCCAACCTTTTAACTCGAATCTTTTTCTGGGAGATATTTTGAGATCTCACCTTTTCAGGTGCTCAATCAGTAGCTCAATCAGGGGAGCAGCGCTCCTCTGCAAGCTCTGGATACAGCCTGAAATGTGAAGAGAGAACAGTACTATGGGAGCTATATGGAGTGCGAATGTTGTTGTTGATATGCAATAGGTCAGCACGAGAGAATGATAAGTGCATAAATTTATGTATTATCAACCCAAAAAGATACCTTTAAAGGCCATCTCTTCTGCAATAGTCCTTTAGAAGTCTTCATACCTATCTTTTCTTCACAACAACATTGGTTCCTACCATTTCATTCCACTCAACGTTCTATGCAGTACATGATCCAGATGGAAACCTTTTTTTTTCTTGCCTTCCAAACCCATGGACTGTCTCTAGCTCAACACATCTGTTCCCTTTTCTGTTTCTCCTTTTGCAGTCTAGAGCCCAGCTTCTTGCTGTTTATTTACACTCACTACTCTTATTGTAAACATCTTCTCATCTGTAACATGGTGTCTGAAACTGATTACTTTTTTCTCTTTGCCTCATCAATTCATTCTTTCTTTTCAAATCATAATCAAAAGCATAGATTTTTTTTCTTGCTCTGTATCTTTTTTTCTTTAATGGATTTATGAAAGCCTTAACTCACTGTAGAATGACTTCACACAACTACTTTATGTAATTTAACGTGTTCTGAATCTGTGAGGGTTATTTCTGAGTATATTATTTATGACATTTTCTGTAAAACAGAGCATAGTTGCATTCCTATGGTCTGACAATAACTCCATCTTCTTTATAACATGGCTACATCTTGAAAACAAAGACTCTATTGTGGCCATACAATAAACTTCATGGATCAACTATAATTTTAGAGTTTAACAAACTGGCCTATATGTTATTTTTTTTTAAACACTGTTTGGATGATCTGAAGGATAAAGCTCATTTCAGATAAAGATGATTCCAAACATCAGATGAGTCTGGCCTTGTCTGTTAGGTCCTTGCTGCACCCTGGCCATTTCATGGTTAATGCAGTTGTGTCAGTAAGTTGCACATTTTATATGAGTTATAGGAGTTATATGAGTTATATGAGTATTGTGCTAGGAAAAGTATCGCCCCTCCATCTTTGCAACACGGATGGGAGACACAGAGATGCTCATGCTGCTCATGTCCACACTCAAACTGCACTGTGGATAGGATCTTTCTCACTAGTTTCTGCATTAACTACTCTGGTTACTGGGTGGTTGGTTTTTTTTAGTGGGTTGTTTTCCAGAATTTACAAAAATTCTGGATAACCGCTTGTATATTCTACTGGATTGAATTATGTCTGTAGACTAGTAACATAAACTAAGCACTATCCTAGGTCATGCTCCCTGACAGTAATCTTTCAAAATACATTCTCAGGGAGGGAAGCAGGAAACAGAAGATAAGGAAATCAGTTCAAGAGCAAAAGGAACCAGGCCACGGCATGCTTAACAGAGACGACGACGTCAGATGGCTAAGAAAAAAAAAAAAAAAAACAACAAATATCTACAAGTAGATATTAATGTGTATGCCGTGCAGAAAAAGTAGAGTAGAAGGTTTAATAAAGTCCCTGAAGACTTTTAACTATATCTCAAATGGAAAAAAATAAATGCATAATCCCTATGCTTGTGGTGCTAATAGGAATGGGAAGGTGGTTGGACTAGATGATCTTGCAGGTCATTTCCAACCTTGTGATTCTATGATTCTATGATTCCTACTCATACTGCCTTTAAAAGAGCTAAGTGTATTTATCTTCTAGTCTTACCATATCATCCATGGCTGACAGATGGGTGGAATGTGTCTGTGATGGGAAATATTCTCCCTATGAGCATAGAGCTGATAACCTGAAAATGTGAGAACATCTACTTTATGGAGACAATCCTAAGCACCTCTTCTCTGACTTTTGGAAGGCAGATAATCTCTTCCTTGCAATGCAAAGATTTAAAAAGAACTGAAAAATTGTTCTGGTCCCCACACTAGTAAACTGCTAAAAGCACTGTAATACCACCATGAATGGTATGCCCTACCATTCAGAGGAATAGGTGTAACCCATGAAAAGAGCAAAGCCAGTTTTGCAAAAGCTTTGTAAATTAATATATTAGAACCAAAATAGAGGCAGAGATAGGAAGCTTTCTGGGACAGTCTTTCATAGTCTATTCAACCTACTGACTTATATGCATGGGTTGTGTCACTGCAGCAGGGCCTGATGGTCATGGGCAGAGCTGAAATGGAGCTCGTGGACCATGGGAAGGTTTGGAGGAATTCCCAGAGGAGGCTGACCTCCCTTAGCACCCTCACAGAAATAACACAGTCAATGAATTGAAGTAACTCCGCATCAAATCACCCATTCAAAATTTTGTTAGGTAACAGATACATGTTGTCTGTGTTTCGATCAAATATATAACATGTAGAATCATAGAACTGTAGAATCATAGAATCATTAAGGTTGGAAAAGACGTCTAACATCATCCAGTCTCACCATCCACTTACCATCAATATTTCCTTGCTAAATTACATCCCTTCGTACAACATCTCGACGTTTCTTAAACACCTCCAGGAACAGTGACTCAACCATTCCATTGGCTGACCACTTTTTTTGGAAAATAAGTTTTCCTTAATATCCAATCTGAATTTGCCCTGGAGCAACCTAAGACCATTCCCCCTTGTTCTAGTATTAGTTACATAGGAGAAGATGCTGACCCCCCTCATCAACACAGCCTCCTTCCAGGTAGAGGACAATAAACCTTCCCTGAGCCTCCTCTTAACCAGAGCAAACCATCCCAGTTCATTCAGCTGCTCTCCATAAAATTTGTGTTCCAGACCCTTCACAGCTTTGTTGCCCTTCTCTGGACACACTCCAGGGGCTTGGTATCTTTCTTGTAGTGCCCAAAACTGAACACAGTATCAAGGTATGGCCTCACCAGAGCTGATCACAGGGGGACAATCACTTCCCTGCTTCTTCTGGCTACACCATTTCTCATAACAGCCAGGATGCCACTGGCATTCTTGGTCACTTGGGCACACTGCTAGCTTATGTTCAGCCAAGAAACATCACATACTACAAGAAAAAAAAAATTGCCATACATTGTTTCTAGGGTGGAAAATAGCACGTAGCAGTGTTTTGTACAGGACAAGACAAAGCACACTCAAGACTGCTGACAGCAAAAACTCTCACAGTGGCAAACTTACAGAAAGTGTGCCTCTGTAGTAGCTAAAATTCTACTTGAGAACTGAGAGGACCTTGTCTTAATTTGCTTTGCTCCTTTTATTTCAAAGACAGTGGTGATTGTCATAGAAATACAGAAGCGCTAAGTAGCAAAAAAAAAAAAGAAAAAGGAAAAAGAAAAGAAATATTTTTCTGTAAATTTAAAATTTAAATAAAAATAAATAAATTAAAAATGAAAATGAAAAAGTAAAATTAATCATCAAGGCCTAACAAACTTTCACCAGCGCTTTTCTGCAAGACACAAAAATTCTCCCGGCAAACCCAACCTACTTCAGTAAAACTGAATGTGTAATCCTTTCACGTAACCAAATTAATACTCAGAATATAAAACAGAGTTTGTAGTTAATACATACAATACAAAGTACCAAAGAGAACTTACATTTGTGGATAGAGGGTTCCTGAGCTGCCATAGAAACTCTGAGGCAAAGTTATGGAGCTTTGCCAAAAAGTCCGTATCAGAAACATGTCTAGAGTGCCTTTAGACTTTTCTTGTCAACCTCTGTAACAGGAACAAAGCGACAGGAGAAACTAAATAAAAACAAACCTATTATGTTAAGTGCAGATTTCCCAGTTATTCTTGGGTTACAGACAGGCACAGAAGAGGTCTCTGGTCCCATCCTCTGTAGAAAGCGTAAGGCAGGAAAAAAAATTGCCAGCACAACTCTTAAAATTATGGGCACACTCAGTGGCTTCTAGATGACTGTTTTCAAGTACTACAACTTGCAAAATGTTCATGTGCCCATGTTTGCTTCCGATTTAAGATTGTCAGAATTCAGTGGCATCAGCTGCCATTTCCAGTGGCACAATTTTTCATTCATGATTTCAAAATAATGAAGCTTGCTTGCCATTTCATGATAATCTTCTACTTCATTTTTTTAGGCATTCATACTGTTAAAGGGATAAATGAGTGAAGGCAGGACAAGCAGAGAATATCCCTGTCCTAAAAGAGTGGAAAGAAAGTGATGAAACAAGAGTAAAGGGGAAACACAAATAACAACCCAAGTCCTACAGCAATGTGTCATACAATATGCATATATCTACCTATGTTATACAGCTACAAGTTCCTAAGCACTGGAAAATATTATGGATACTCTTGATGGCTGCTGAATTCTCTTTCAGAATGGTACACGTGATTTAATCTGAAAGGTAGCTCAGCACCACACAGTTGTTTGTTAACTTCCTCCCTTCCCAGTGGGATGGGGAGAGAATCAGGGGAAAAAAAAGAGAACTTGTGGATTCAGATAAAACTATTTAATAAGCTAGGGAAAAGGAAAGAGTTAACAGTTATGGCTGTGTGTATATATATGAATATATGCAACAAAGGGGTGAGCAAGTAATTATTCACCACCTTCCAGCCAATGCCCAGCTAGGCCCCCAAGTAGCAACTGAGATAAAGGAATGACAATATAATGTAAACAAACAGTTTTGAACAGTTTTGAAGAATTTTGAATGCATGTACCCGTATGTTCTGGATGCACAAACTGTTACAGAAGGGACCATAATTCACAGCATAAATGGTAGTCTTGTTAACCTCAACGTCAGAAGAAAAACTGCTATACGTGTCACAAGCCATAATGTTATGTAAATGATCCACAAATAGCAGAAAATCAAGACACAGACATAAGCCAGTATGAGTTATTCCACAGGGAATCTGGGGACAGAAGCCTATATATACAAGTACACTTGATACACATGGTCAAACCAGTGCTGAAACATACAATACAGTTAGTAAAAAACAATTCTAAGAGTCACTCACATCTTCTGAGAAAAGAAGATCTTCAACATATGAAATATAGTGATGATTCTGTCAATGATGCATATTCACTGTGCAGCAACTGCTGTGAAACATCACACTTCTCGCTAATGGACTCAGAACAGCAAATACAGCTGTTCAGGAGCTCAGGCTCTCTCCTCAGAGCTGTGTGTGCAGCACAGCATTTGTAGAAGCGCTTCGATGATTTGGGAGTGCAAGTCCCCCTCAAAGCCAGCACACAGACAAAAGAATTTAATCCACCATTGCAGATGCAGGGTTCCTTTTCTAAATGGATTGGTGATGAGAGCAGCTTGAATTACAGACATCAGAAAGAGTTATTTCGTTCCGCTAGTTGATAGGAAAGAACATTTTCCAGTTCTCCAGCAGAAATAGACTTGCTAAAGTCATTAGGATAAAATAGGTCTTGCCTTTAGGAAACTAGACTGACTGCAGGGATGTGCATTTGGCCTGCTTCATAGAGGTAGCTATTTTCCTGCAATTACCTAGGAAGGGCAAAGAAATGGAGGCTTTGATGAACTAAGTAGAACCACAAATATTGTGCACTGATCTATTGAATGTAGATTCACGTGTGCATAAAAAAATCTTTATTATACAATTATTTTCCTTTTTGTTTCAATTTTTCTGTTGATTGACATTACTTACTACAGGGTGACTGATGTTGAATTTAACAGGTTTGCCAAAAGAATTTTCCTTGAAAAGCTAAACAAAAGCCTTCAACAGGCAGAGAAGACATTAAACTTGAGAAAAAAATAAGAAACACATTGCTGCTATTATAAGAGTATGTAGATATTCATCAATGACAAGCAGAGGTTTTGCAGTGATATGGCTTATCTGATAGGACAGAGGTCTAATATGCTGCCATCTCTATGTTGCCTAAAGTTATAAGTCAAAGCAAGAAAAATAATGACTTAAAAAAGAAAAATGTTCTCTGTCTTCTCAAGCAAGAACTTTGAACAGGTTGCACAATATTTTTTTGTGTGGGTGTGTATATTAGTTTTTGTTTCTGTTTTAATCTGTAAGTATAGTAACTTAAGAGAGTTTTTTTCCTAAATACTAACCATTGTTGTGACAGTCTCCACCATGTGTTAGAAGCTACTATAGTAGTAGTAGTACTCGATTATAAAGGGTAATGCATAAGAGAAAGCATTGGAGATAACCAAGGCACAGTGATGCTGGGCAAGCCAGGTGACACCTGCTATGAGCAGGGAGGGTAGGGAGCTTGTCTGGGTAGTTTCCATGCACAGGACGTGTACAGGACACCAGAAAGAGGAGGCATGAGAGGTTACAACTTCTTACACTGACTGAGGCATCAGCAAACTACAAAAAGCATGTGCATCTTGTCATGAGATCTGTAATCACTGGTAACTTTACAAGTGGAAACTGGTGCATTAATTTGATTCTTAAAAATCATCCCATGTTACTGAGAAACTTAATAGGTTTTGAAAGACATATTTCTATGTTGTAATAGCTATATCA